CTCTAGTTGGCACCCATATGGGTGGTGGCTTCACCCGCTGTGCCACAGTGCCAGCCCCAGAGTCTGTGATTCTAATGGCACTTAACTGTGACAAGTTGATTTCAGTTTTTTAAGATGTTGAGAACCAATGAGGCAGTTTGCTGCTCGGGCTCCGAGGGGCATGGGCTCATTGCTGCCGCCCCCCTTCCGTAGGTGATGTTGTGTAAGCCCTCTCAGCAGGAGAACCTTTGTGCTCAGGAGCTTGGGAGAGTTTAAAGCTGGCATCTGGAAAGGGGGCACATGGAGCTGTGAGCTGTGGGCGCATCCCTCATTTATCAGCTGCATTTCCTTCTCAGCCTAGCCTGCGCTGCATCCTTCGAAGAATTATTGGTTACTTTATCCGAAAAGCAGAGAGGAAGAGAGAGGCTTCACCTCTGTTGGTCACTCCCCACATGCCTGAAATGGTCTGGGCTGGGTCAGGCTGAAGCCAGGAGCCAAGGACTCCATCTAGATCTGCACGAGCGGCAGGGGCCAAAATGCTTGCACCCTCATCTGCCTCCCTGAGTGTGTGTGTTGGAAGCTGGGTTTGGAAGTCAGGTGCCACTCACTCACCCTGGGCCATCAGTGGTATGGGTGCTGCAGTCTAGCTGACAGAGGGTGTCGGGACGCAGAGCAGTGGTGTAGCAGGGAGGGGTTGGCAGCCTGGGGGTGCTGCTGTCGAGCAGCAGGTTTAGCAGGGCCATGTGCCAGCCACCTCCTGCAGTCACTGACTCTAGGTGGCTGCAACTCTCAGGCTGCTTTGAGAAATGGATTAGGAGGTTTTGGGTGCGGAGAGGGACCTTCAGCTGACTATGTTTTACGTCCTGAAGGATGAAGTAGAATAGCAGAGTCTGAGAGACCTTTCTGCGGCTTTGCAAAGCTGAGCTCCTTGCACACAGAGTTTTGCACCCAGATGATTGCTCTGAGGATGTTCCCCACGTCCTGCAGGATGGGGACTCTGGGCAAAGACACACAGCTTCCTCAGGGCCCCTGCAGCTCATCCTGATCCCCCTCCCTGGGTGCAGCTGCTGCCCCTTGGATGACGTGGAATGTGGCAGAGGGTCAGTGAGTTGGAAAGCAGGACTGCACTGTGTGGTTGGGTGGGGTGTTTGATTTTCAGGGAAATGTACACTGGGCAGGCTTTCTTAGCTCTCCTGCTGCAGAAGTTGCTGATTATGCAAACACATCTAGAATGTTCCCTCTGTGTGTATGTGTGCGTGCATGCACGCACACTGTATTTCCACACAGTTTGCACATATTTTTCTTCCGTAGTCTTGTTTCTTGCTAAAAATATAAAATTAATATTGCAGCTTAGTTTTCTCTTTGATTTGTTGATCTCATTCTTGCAGGGTCTTTAAGTCTTCACTTGTGTAAGTCCAAATAGCCTTGATCTCAGACGCAGGCTGTCCAAGGCTCTGGCCGGCCTGACCGTTAAGTGAGCCGTGCTGGTATGGAACACCCTCCCTGATTTTGGCTGTACATACTCATTCTGGCGAGGGAAGTTTCCAGCAGACAAATGTTCAGACAAAATATTATTAATCCCTCAAAGAGGCCACTGCATTTTATGTAGCCTGTAATACTTTTATTGCTGCTCAACCCAATCTCAGGCTCCGTAATAACATGGTACTTTTAAACCTTACCATCAATTTCTTGTTAAGAATGACTTGAGCCTAGGCTGTTCTGGTGACTCGACCTTCAGTTTGGCAAGACATTTAGAATCATCTGGTTTGCAACATAGAATCTATTTCCTTATTGATTTAAGAGGCATAGAGAGGGGGTGGGGAGGGAGAGGCAGACAAAGAGAGCTCTTCCACCCACTCATTCACTCCCCAAATGCCTGCACCAGTTGGGGCTGGGCCAGACCAAAGCCAGGAGCCCAGAACTCAATCTGGATCTCCCACGTGGGTGAGCCATCAACTGCGGCCTCCCATAGCGTGCCTTAATAGGAAGTTAGATTTGCTGGGTGAAGGGGGTGGTGGTAGGGACCAGGACTGAAGCCCAGGCACTGTGATGTAGGATGTAGATTTTCTAAGGTCAGATGTCTATCCCCCGTAACATGAATCTTCAAAAAGTGCTATTAAATATTCACATGTCTTTCCAGTTCCTTATTGTGATAGTCTTGTAACAATCTGTTTACTCTAACCAGAGTTACATTGTCTATCGGACTATATAACACTGTTTGCAACAGGCTTCTTGAGTTTCTGGAAAGATCCTGTTCCTGCCAATACTGGATGCCAGGCAGGTGTGTTTCAAGGCAGAACAGAGTGACCACTTGCAGGGGCCTTGCTAATAGCAGTGAGGAGGTGCCCTGGGACCTTTTCTTTGCCTTTCTGAGATGTGACCAGATCCTGGCACCCTCTCTCTGTGGGACTGTGAGCAAGCTGCCAGCCAGGAGCAGAGCTGCTGCTGCACGCCGTGCAGCCTGGTCACCCCCAGTGTAAGCCCTCAGTGTTCAGAGCCTTAAGGGTATCCACCCTGCTTGTTCCCAGCCACTGTGACTGTGGAAGACTCAACCAGACAGATAGGAAACACAGATGGAGGGGAGAGAGTCATCCAGCAGTACGTCTTTCTAGCAACTTTGACTTCCAGGAAATCCTGGCTGTGGCCCTCATTTTGCTGTTTTCCATTTGTTCTCAGCTGGGCTCTTTAAAATGCCACCTCTGGAAGTACAGCAGGGGCTGTCCTATCCCCTGGAGAGCACAGCATGTTAGGGCCCCAGGTGGCCGTGCTCCAGCTGACTCACTCTGAATGGTAGCTGTATCTACCCCGGCACAGGCCTTGGATTGTGAAGTCGGCGGCGGATGCCACTGCCAAGGCGCCCAACCTGCTGTCGAGTATCCGGGACAAGCTTAGTCACTGCCTCCTGCCTGAGAGAAGAGGATTTCCCCACAACCAGGAGGGTCTGTGATAGAAGCCTTTTGCCAGTACTCCTCAAGCTCCCACGTTCGTGTTCCTGGAGCAATCCGCAGCATCTTTGCCAGGCCTTGCTTTGCTTGCTGAGTTCTGCAAGGCCACCATGTGAGCTGCCCTCCCTGTGCCCTCAGTGTCACAGTGTCATGGCCAGCTGCAGCTGCGTCACCCTCCATTCTGTTTCCTCGCCGTGCAAGCTCAACTGCCTGGCTGGTCTTGTCTTCTGGGACTATTCCCACACCCTACCCCCCATCCACCCTGCCTCCCCCCAGGTTTCTCTTCTTGGTGAGTCAGGCCTCAGGGCAACCACTTAGAAGTGTTCTGGTGTCAGACAGCCTGTCCGTCCAGGCTGGGCTGTTTTGTCTTCGCAGGCTCAGTTCAGCAGGTGGCATTGCCTGCTGTGTTCATTTTTACTCTCTGCCTTCCTCACTGGGACGTGCTTCTGCTGTCAGTCGGTTGGCTTGATTGTAGGCTGTGCCCCTCTCACACCTTGCAAAGTGTAGGAGAAACACATGTGAAACACATGAATGAAGGATGGCCAGTACAGGAAACAAGACCTGACCGCGATTTTCCTCTGTGCCTGGCCACCCTTGGGTTGTTTTCTGTTGTGTTCAGTCATGCTGGCCTTGGGAGGTGGCTCTAAGAAGTGGCTGATGAAGGAAACTGTGTTGAGTTGCACCTGGCACAGCTCCAGGCCGGGCACTGAGCTAGTACCCCAGCCTGTCGTTCAGGTTTGTAGCAGCTTGCAGGCTGTCTGGGTAGCGTTCGTCACCCCACCGGAATGCTGTGGGTGCTTCTGCCCTGCGGCTCTTGGCAAGTTGCTGTGATGGGTCCCCAGCCCCAAGTCTGGGGGAGTCCCCAGCCATTTGTCTGTTCGTGACCCCCCCTCCCCATGCCAGGGCTCTTTTGGCTCCTTATGGCAGGAAAGGATGGTGCCTGGGAATTCTGTGCTAAGACCTGCTGCTCATGCCCGATGGATGGGCACTGTGGTTGTTGTTGAGGGGCTCCTGGTGTAGGAAGGTAGACTGATGCTAAGTGTTGAGTGGGGTTCACCCCAGGTCCCCTACAGCACCCAAGCTGTCCCCTCCCTCATGAACTCAATGGTGCAGGTAGTTTCAAGGAAGACAGGTCTTGATCCACACTGTAGTGCAAGGTTGAGGGGCTGTCTCTGGTAGCGCCTTCTTGATTGGCACAGTCTTCAGGTGGTACAGGTTGCTGTGGCATGACACTGGGCATACCCACAGGGTGTATGTGTGTGTGTGTGTATGGGGGGGTCTCTTTCCCCTTACACAGAACTACCAGGTTTAGCCACCTCCTGCAGACCCCACCCCTGCAAATCCATGATGGGATTAAGTATCCACCCTCATAATAGCTCCCAAGCAGGATTAAATGGGGCTGTGGAGCCTTGAGGAGCTCTGCCTGCAGACCACAGCACCTCCTGTCTGCAGCACTGTAGGGGGGCTCCGAGCTTATGTTGTCTTCCCTTGCAGAGGAAGTGCCCTCCACCGTACCCCATCACTACGCTGTAGAGTGGGCAAAATACTGCTGGGCAAGAGTGGGGCATTGAGAAGACTTGTTTCTCAGAAAAGCATGTGGACCATCTGGTTAGCGTCTGTGTGGCCAGAGGTTTGAACTGGCCTCAATGCTTGACTTAATGAATCTGTGCGTGCGTTTTGAGTCAAGGAAGGCCATTGATTCACTGCGCGGATGTGAGCTATGGCTCTTTCATGCCGTAACTGATGTGTATTTATTTGATGGTTATTATTATTGTTGTTTTTAGTAAGGAGGTGAAAGCCACCCTTTGGCTTCGCAGGGTTGCACTGTGATCGGGAAGGCTGCCATGGCGGCCGAGTTGTGGAGCCATTAGCTCCAGGATCCCTACAGAGCGCGTGGCAGCCACCCCTGCCCTGGCTTCCGGTCAGGTGTACATGCTTGACATTCGCATCCTCGCCAATGAAAATGTCTCCCCGTTTGCGGTAACTTTGAGCAAATATGGTCCGGCCCTGAAAGCAGAGAGAAGTTTGTTGGCAGACCCAGGACGGTGACAAGTTGTTTTTCTTCTTTCTTTCCAGTCATACCTGGGAAGCTGTCGATACCAAAAACAACAAGCTTTATAAAATCAACCTCTGTGCAAACATGGCCGCCACCCCCTGCGGGCCAGCCACCGCCGTGTGCATGCACGACCTGAGGACGGAGAGCTATCGTTCTGTGGGTGAGTGAGGCCGCTGCTGGCCCTGATGGGCTAGGCGCGGGGATCCTGGTCTAGCCAACGTCAGACTCTGTGTGTGTGTGAGTGTGGCCATGCATGGGACTGTGGATGTGTCCCGTGTGTCCAGCGCTCGCAGCTCATGTCTTGAGAACATGGCGGTGCTTTGACTCAATGTGTGTGCTTCTCCCTCGTCACCCACACTGACCTGCAACTCTGCATTTCCTTCTCTCCCTTTCCCACCCCCCTGGTCCTCAGGGCCCATCCCCCTCTCCTCGGGCCTTTCCCCCACATTCCTCTGTGGTGTTTGATTGATTAGCCTCTGGCGGGAGACTTCCTTCACAGATGAAGTGGTCCCGAGGTCTGGGGGGGAGGGAAGACTGCCGTGCTGATTGTGCAGGGGTTCGGGCCAGGCTCCCGTCCTCTGGGGGACGGCGGGTCTATCTGGGCTGTTGGCTTCACTCAGTGGCGTGGTGTGCCCCGGGGGGGAGAGCGGGGATCTGGGGCGATTTACTCTGTATGATCTTTCCGGGACTGCATGGATGCCACGGCAAGCTGGTGGCTGGGGCTGTTCAGATTTTCAAAAAGCGCAAAAGCTAGTTTCCATCTGGGCTTTCATACTATGGGCTGGTGAAGTCATGTCTTGGAGTTTGTGGTGGTAGATTGCAGTAGAACATAAGGGAACCCCAAAAAATTAACCAAAAATGGAATAATAAGGTAAGTTTATTGTGGTGTAAAATAATTGTGATAATGGTGCTTTTTTTTTTTTAAACGTATTTGGAAAAGATAGAGACACATATCCCACATGTTGGTTCCCTCTCAGTTGCTTGCAACAGCTGGGTCTGGGTCAGGCAGAAAGTAGAAATCTGGAACTCCGTGTGGGTCTCTCACATGGCTGCAGGGACCCAAGGCCTTAGCCGCTAGCTGCTGCTTTCCTGAGTGTGTTTGCAGGAAGCGGGACCCCGGCACTGTTGTGTAATGCCAGGGTCCCAAGCTGCAGCTTAACCCTTGCACCAAATACCTGCCCTGTGTGCATAAAGTTTTAAAATACATGCGTATTGTGTGGTCATTCCGAGAGTTTGTGGAAATGCTTATTAGGAAAAACTGCGCATGGATTTCAGAAAAACTTTTGTATCAAAATAAACATATTCCTTAATTTCGATTTCCACGAAGTTGTTGAAGTACTGCCTGTAACATAAGGGACTGATGTGGGGTGCAGATGAGCCAGCAGGGTGGACAGCATGTGAGTGTGGGCAGGCCTCGCCGGCCACACGAGCTGGCTTGGGAGTGGGTCTGCTGCAGGTTCCCTGGGAGGGGGTGATAGCAGGGCTTGTGCAGAGCATGGCCCAGTGGAACAAGAAAGGTGGCTTAAAAGGGGCGAGGCCGAAGGAGCTGGAGTAGTAAGAGCTAAGTTACAACTCAGATGGATAGTGACAGAGTCAGCCCCTAACAGGGTTGTTTTATCCCTAAACACATGCCACGAATGTCTGTCCCTGAGTGCGTGGCTCCCATGCGGGAGAGTTCCAGCCCTGGTAGCCATTGCTGCATTCCTTCAACTCCGGAAAGCGTGTGTGTGTGTGAGTGAAATGAAAGCCTAGGAATAGTATCAAATCAGGTCTCACTTTGCACATTCATGTGAACTATGAGTGGGCTGTGCATGTGTGTGCTAGGTCTCCTGTTTTTTTTTTTTTTTTTAAGATTTATTTTTATTGTAAAGGCAGATTTACACAGAGGAGAGACAGGGAAGGCTCTTCTAGCCACTGGTTCACTCATCAAATGGCCGCAGCAGTTGGAGTGGAGCCGATTTGACATCAGGAGCCAGAAAGCTCCCCTGGGCTTCCACATGGGTGCGGGGACCCAAGGACGTGAGCCATTCTCCACTACCTTCCCAGGCCACAAGCAGGGAGCTGGAGGGGGGGTAAGAGTAGCTGTGACACAACCTGGCACCCATATGGTGTGCTGGTGTCACAGGGTGGAGGATTCCAGTCTTGTGTTTCTAAGTGGGGCTGCCTTTGGAGGCACACAATTCCATTCTCGTCATCTTAAACTTAAGCTGTGCAAGGGTCAAAGGGCTGGGCAGCTTGGCGGAGGTGGTATGGTTGTAGGTCTGGGTAGGGTGGACACCAGAGCCTGTGGGCACCAGGGCTTGTCGGGATGTGACCCACAGAGGCTAAAACAGGAACCAGGACGGGAAACCCGAGCAGGCGGCCGACCGAGAGACTGACTGCTTATGAACTTACTAGAAAGGGAAAAATGTGAACTTTAAAACCAACCACAAGGGCTGGAACACCCCGTAGATCAGAGGAACGGAAGAGGCAGTGTAAAAATAGATCCAAATATGCACACACAGGAACCTAATGCGTAACCAAAACCCTGGGTGTAATTAGTTATTTGTCTTTTAGGAAGCAAAATTAGACAACTCTTTCCCCCACCTCCTTCACATCACAGAGCTGTGAAAATCTGAAAAGAAAAAAAGACAGTAGAACAAGACAGGGACACATTTCTGGTATAATAGGAATGGAACATGGAGGGAACTTTCTTGGGGAAGCCTGGAGTATAAATGAGAAAGCTGCGGGGTGCACCCGCTTTGGTGGCGCGGGACCCCCAGAGACAAGAAAGCACCGCAGGCTAGGATGATATTTCCAACCAAAGTCCCACACACTGTTAGGATGAGAGAGGGAGAGGCGACTGGGAAACAGCCAAGTTCAAGAACAGGCAGTTCAGGACCTGATCGCCCTCTTGCCCCCAGTGCACGGCCAAGCCGAGAGCGGCTGCCTCTCCTGATTGAATTAGCAGGCGTGCGGGTGGCTGGGCCGCGGGCTCCAGGCCGGCAGCCTGCAAGGGGCTGTCAGTTGCTGCAGTCAATGGGTGCCTGCAGCCCCCTGGGGGAGATAATTGTCCACACGCATTTTCTGTGCTAATGAACAGATATCAAGACCTCCTCCCTCCCCCACACTCCACCTGATTTTACCAGTATTTGCATTGCAGATTGAGCATCTCTAAGCCAAAAATCAAAACTTTGAAAGGCTCCCAGACCTGAAGGTTTTTTTTTTTTTTTTTTTTTTTTGAGGGATTTGGAGCATTAATCCCACCAGTGGAAAATTCCACCCCTGATCTCATCTGGTGGGTGAGAAACAGCCCACAGGTGTGTGGGAAGTGGGATTAAGGCTGCCTCGGGCTCTGTGTCTGGGGCACATGGGAATTCTCTGTGTGGAAGTGGGCCTCTTCTCAAACCATTGCATTTCTAAATATCCTAAAGTTGGAAAAAAAGAAAATTTGAGCCTTTCGAAGACTTGTGGTGCCAGACATTCTGGAAAAGTCACTTAACTTGTATTTTTAATGTCAGAAGCCCCCCATCAGTTCATCCCTAGGTACATGATACTACATGCGAGCAGATGAATTTACCAGAATTTGGCAGGCATCGTTGTGGTGTCTGCGAACAGCATTTGCTCTCATTCACAGCCTAATTAATCATCTTTACCACGTTTCCCAGTGATTTATGTGTCATATGTATTTGATTTCCTTTTTATGTACTTCAGATGCATGTCTGATTTTAGCAATTAAAACTTCCCAGCACCACAGTAATTGTTTAAAATTTAAATGCACAAATAGGAGAAAGCTGAAATTCCCATAAACATTCTGTAAGTTTGTCAGGATTGTGGACTAGTGGCTCAGTCGGAGACTCGGGGCTGGAATGAGGATGTTAAACACGGCACGTATAGAAAAACATGAAGTGTCTTCATATCACTCCTCACTCATCTCTGGGAATTCCGAGCGCCACGTTCCCTACAGGACGCGTGTCCCCTGCCGCTTTAACTGGGGCACCGTGCGCTCTGGGGCATGGCCATACGATGGTGCTCATGTCGGAGCCACGGGGTCCTGGCTGGCTGTGGAAAGTGGCCTGGGCAGGGTGCTGTGGACCTGACCGTGGCAGCCGTGCCCGGTGCTGTCAGGTGTTGTGGGGAACCTGGCCTCTGACTCGAGGTCACGTTTATATGACCCGATTCTCAAAAGCCTGCCGCAGCGCCCAGGCTGGTCACGGCATGAAAGCTTTTGTCCCTTTGACTCTGTTGCATGTGAAAATCACCTTTTCCTTTTAGCCTATTGTACCCTTTCATTTTCTTAAAACTTGTGTTGGCTGTTTGAGATAGCGGTTGTGTTTTGGCAACAGTTCATGGTTTTATATGATTTATGGTCTCTCCTGGAAATGTCTGTTAATGTTCAAAACGAATCCTGATGACCTACTTTCATGAATGCAGGAAAAACTGAAATAATACTGCACATGGATTTTCGAAGAAAAAAAATGTGTGTCAGATATACTAGAACCTTCTGACTGGTGATGGTTCAAGAAGTTTTATCTTGTTCTCTGATTTACTTGAGAAAGTCACATTAATGAAGATACATATGTAGGTTATTGTTTAAAAACACAGTGAGTTGGTACTATTCATTTATTATAAATAATTGACTGCCAGCCCTGGATGGTCATTGCTGTTCGTACTAGAAATGAGCTAAGTCATGGAAGCTGATAAAATCCCTTTTCTTGGGGCACTTCATATTCGTGGGGAGACAGTGGCTTGGGCTGTGAGGCGCGCAGAGCATGCGGCAGGGGAGGGGGTGGGCAGCTGGCGGGCAGGGGCTCTGCGCAGGGCTCTGCGGGCTAAGTGTTGCTGAGAGCGTGAGGCCTCTGCGGGGCCCTGGCGCTCCAGTGGCTCAGCGTGGGGGTGGGGGAAACCCAGGGACAGCAAGGGCAGAAATCTCCTTTACAGCCTTAATAAAAAGCAGAGCAGAAGGGGAAAAAAAAAAGAAGCGAGGCTGTAGCTGGAGGTAAAGCTCACGCCGGGGCTGCCTGGTTAATGGGGTGGGTTCACACTTGAACAGTGCACAGCGTGTGTGGAAGGAAATGACGCAGTGGTGCCGGGGAGACGGCCGGTGAGGCAGCACAGAGAGGCTGTCTGTCTGTCCTGTCTGTGGGTTGCTACTCACTGCACAGCCGAGCGCAGCTGCCA